GGTTTCAAATGAACACTTTTTTATTTTGTCCAAACTAATAGTCATGGAAATAAAAATGCTAGAAAGTTAATTTTCGTTTTTCCGTTACATGTGTGAGCCACTGTATATCGGTAACTTTATATGGATTTCGCAGCCACGAATTCGCAGACAATAAAATTTTTTTGACTTTTATAGATGTTACCTGTTGGTGAGAAGAAAGGCAGACCTGGAGGGCGAATAAACTACATATAATTGTTAACGTTAATGCTAAAAAATTTATACGCACGTATCGCATTATTATAATGTCCATCTATTCTTTATTAACGTTAATACCTAATCCCTTTATCCAATTTAATTATTAACGTTAAGAAAGTATGTTATTTTTATCAACCAATAGAATATGAACTACCCCAGCTCACCCACGATCGTGGGTGAGCTGGAGTAGTTATGATCAACTTCTATTATACGACAAATAAAATTACTTTTATACTTAATAATAAAATACAATGTGAGGAATATAATTTTGTAACGATGTGCAATGGCACATTCTCGTTCGTCTTCTGCTCCATCTTTAGAACTTGATCTTAATAAACCCAATTCTTCAAATTCTGAGACTGAATCTTCGACTACCACCTCTTCACAAAAAACGTAAAAACAATCCGTATCATTGGCGATAGGGCTAACAAAAGTCATACAGCTTATCTGTTTCGTAAAGAACCTGATAATATTGATATAGCCTACTGTATATCATGCGAGCAAAACCTCGCAGGTACCAAGCATGGTATAACGGTACATAATTATCGAGAACATTTAAATGTGAATAATGAGGCAAAATACATTTAAAATCTCTTGATTCCCGATACATCAGTTTCGAGCGAACGACTCTTTTCGTAATCATATCTCAGTGCTTAGTAAGGTGTGACTATATATGAGGTGATTATATGAAAAGATGATTGTACATTAAAAAGGGGATTTAACAACAAAGCTAAACAATCAACTGTTTTTATTTTTCCGCTATAAGCACTATAAGCAGCATTCCAGCAATGGCGTTCGTTCAATAACAACAGTAATTATCTATCTCTAAGACGCGCGAAGAAGCTTTTTATGATCCTTCATGGGCTGAACTTGCAGTGACTTTTGAACTTCATACAGAGAAGCATGTCAAATAGTCGTAACATCACCATCACCACATTTTATTCTAACAACAAATACAACCATTACCACCACAACTATCAACTCAATTGCAATCGCGACCGCTGACGCCTCAACCAAAAGTGCAGCTCAATTGCCGCCACCACGACCACAACACGCTGCGCCTCTCCGTTCACAAGCAGCGCGAAGAGGGCCTGTCCAATGCGACGAAAGAATAGCAGAAATGAATAGGAGAAGAAATGAACGTCCATCAAAAACCATCGCTCGCCAACGCATCGC